TTTTCTCACGATTTGAATCATGATTTAAAGTGCAGAATTTTGTGCTGCTTGGCATTAAAACTCTGATATTTTTATGCGATGTTTTGTGTATTGTGCTTATGCGGTTGCGTTTGGTTGGTACATTTGCAACTCAACTGCATCAGAACTGAATGAGCTTTTGAAATGATATTTCCCTCCCCAAATCCACAGAGGTTTCATTATTTTAATGCATTTGGTTGCTCAATACTAGTTTGCATGCCTGTTACTGGAAAAAAGATTGCTGCATAGTCAAAAGACAACAGAAAACTGTATGAAATCCTTTTCTTTACTTGGTTATGTGGGTTACACATTTTCTTTATACTCTCACTTTGCATATTCCAAAAATAAATAAACAAAATTAATTACCGTAATATGTTGAATACCAAAATCAAAAACCTTAGTGACAAATATTAAAAGAATGACTTTATTTTTATTACATTTATTACCCAATTGATATACAATATTGTTCAAGAAGTCTTATGCTCATCAAGGCTACTTTTTAATTGACCAGAAGTATAGTAAAAACAGTAACATTGTTAAATATTATTACAATATTTTTTGTATTTAATATTTTAAAATATAATTTATTCCTATGACAAAGCTGAATTTTCAGCATCATTACTCCAGTCTTCAGTTACATAATCCTAATCATTCTAATATGCTGATTTGGTGCTCAGAAACTTTTATTATTATTATTAACTATGATGCCTTTTTCAGGATCCTTTGATTAATAGAAAGTTTAAAAGAACAACATTTTTGGAAATACAAATGTTTTGTAACTTTAAAAATGTCTTTACGGTCACTTTTGATCAATTTATTGCCGCCTTGCTGAATTAAAATATTAATTTCTTTCCAAAAGAACCCCCCAAAATTTGGAACTTTCTATAACCAGCTCATTTACTCAAAATTCACTTTTAGTGTATCTTGCAATGTTTTATAACTGTGTGCTTTAATTTGGTGGAATATGTGTAATGGATTTTAACATGCACAAAGTAAATGAGGCAATACTCAAGTCAAGGACTTAGTTGGATAACAAGATCCATGACTCTACGAATCAGTGAGCAATAATGACACATCTTTGATTTGCTCTGTCTTGTCATGTATATATGATGAATATTTTCTTCACAATGTGCACTGACCATCTGACAATTCTTATTTGCATATTTAAAGTCATTGTCACTGTAATGCAGCCCCCTTGATACTCAAGGTCTGCTGTATTGTTATTCTGTGTGTCAGGTTATATTTGTTTTTTTCTCTCAAATATTTCTGTTCAAATTTTATTTGAATTTTTTTAGGGCTGATAATAACAAGGTCATGTGTGCATGCAAGCTTCAATGGTAGATCTAGGCTCTCCGCTGATGTTATTGATGTTATTCTCAGAAAGAAATTGTATTAATTTTTGTTTTCGTCTGCTGGCATGCCACTGAGAAAATCTCTTCGTTTGTGAAGGACTATGTAGGAATGACATAGAAATAATCATTTTAGCAAGACCACCAGGTTATAGAGAAGTGCAATAATATCATCTAAAGCTGAAGGACAACCATACGTAACACCAAAAAAAAAACGATATATATATATATAAACATGAAGCCGCTCACTTATATATTCCATTGTACTAGAATGTAAAAATGGACCACAGAATATTTGGATGTTACTGCTCTGAACACAGATTTTATTCTGCCGTCTTTGTTGATGTTGACCAAACTTTGCATTTTTGAATTCAACACTTCTATATATTATACAATTATTTTTGTAATGAAATACTGCCCGGTTATTTCAACAGCAACGGTTACTTTTTTGCAGAATATATCATGAGTGGTTTACAATGTTTGTTTTCTTCTAAGCTGCTAAACCTTACCGGACACATGCACAGATGTAAGTACACTATGTTTGTTTGTTAACAATAAAAGAAATGTATGCTTTTTGATATCCATTATTTAAAAGGCTTTTATACAATCCCAGGAGGACACTTTTTTTTTGTTTTTCTTATAATTTTCTCTCTATAAATTTAACCATTCATTTTTTTTTTAAATACAGCAGGAAGAAAATTGGAGGGAGGCAAACTAAAGGAGGCAATTAAAAAAGAAAAAGAAAACCTTGCCCTTGGATCTCAATTTGGAGAAAAAGTTCAACTGTCTAGCATTAACCTGCTCTTCTTGCAAATATAACTCCATCACAAACCATAATGACCAGTTGAATATTACTAGGCAGGGACAGACTGGTCAAATCCAGTTAAACTAGTTAAAGCAGTGCAGGAAGGCACATATAGGAAGCCCGGGGAATTTTTGCTGAATTAACATGCTGATAGGGCGTTTTACTATGTATAAGGTTCAGTTTTACTATGCATCAGCCTCAATACCTCATTCATGTGTTCACTTTTACCACACATGGCACCGGTTCAAGCCATTCCTTACTATTCTGAATGATATGAATGCTGCGTTACAACATGACATCAGCATTCAAGCTTTAAAACAATGAACAGATTATACCTTTAGTCATTTTAAGTCAACAGCATACCGTTTTTTTGTTTTCAACATTTGTATTGTTTGTTAACATGGTTTTAACACCATTAATTGTATACAGTACTTGTGTAAAATGTAGCAAGAAAACAAGGCCTCAATACAATGTGTGAATGTTCAAAGGCACATCCATAAGCATACATTCAAACGACAGACCGCAATCTGACCAGCATTCAAGCTTTAAAACAATGAACAGATTATACCTTTAGTCATTTTAAGTCAACAGCATACCGTTTTTTTGTTTTCAACATTTGTATTGTTTGTTAACATGGTTTTAACACCATTAATTGTATACAGTACTTGTGTAAAATGTAGCAAGATAACAAGGCCTCAATACAATGTGTGAATGTTCAAAGGCACATCCATAAGCATACATTCAAACGACAGACCGCAATCTGACATGCTGTTTAGAGTTCAAACAAATTTGCTTTATGAATTTCCATTTGCCAAAGTTCAAGCTGTTTTGTAAAATCAACAACAGGACAAACATCTCATAATTTGGTAATGCTATGTGAAATAGTAGAGCAAACTGAATCAGCTTTGACCCTGACCAAAAAAAAAAAAAAAAAAAAAAAAAAGCAACTATAACTATTTTTTAAGGACACACATGATGAATTCCCATTGAGTTTACATCAGCCAGCTGCCATATATCCTCTAGTCTTATTATTTTATGAAAGATTTACAAAGGGATGTGTTCCCTTATTGTTGTTAATATTGCACAGTGTGCACACAAGGCACCCTTTAACCTGCGTTTGAAAGCTTGAATAAAAAGATCATTTGGACACCGAACAACCACATCACATGCATTCTGGAGTCATTATATCAATTCTGTTTGCATTTGTTATTTTTAAAGCGGTCATTTCTGACTGCTTATCACATATTTTAAGGCAAATATACTACTACTACTGAATTTAAATAGACTAAATGTGGTTGCAGGTCAAATATGTTGTCATATTTAAGAAATATTCTAGGACACGAATGTTACTCTAGTCTCCAATGGTTTCCAGTTGCTGATTTGGCTTCATAAAATACTCAAAGGCTCTTGTTCGGTCCCACCGTGTTCACGGTTATAATCAGTCACAACCGCCACTCTCAAATGTGAAACAAGGAATGCACAAAAATTTAGAATTTTCACCAGTTGATGGATAAATACCTTTGAAACTTGAGCTGGACTCAATTTTGACAAAACGAAGCTTCAATAAATCAGTCTCAGATGACCAACGAATTGAATTTGCATAATGGAAACCATGATGATTTATAATTAAGTATAGGCATGCGAAAGTAACAGTGATTTAAAACCTACTACAGAGTAAGTGCACATGGAAGAGTTAGTTTTTTTTGTGCGTGTATGTTGAGGGTACTCTACAGTAATGAAGTTCAAAGAGGCTCCACATGGTGTTATGCATAGTGAGAGAAACCTGAATCTGAATCAGGTGAAGCCAGTCAAGGCACACCGGCACACTGGGAAAGGTTGAGGAACAGGAGAGCAGACCCAGTGGACACCATCAGACCATCATGTTGCCCACTCCCTCACTCACGTGGTTCGTTAGGTGGCGGGATCTTGACGTCAGACGGCTCTACACCCCAGATCTCACGTGCATACTCTGCAATGGTGCGGTCGCTAGAGAACTTTCCAGAAGCAGCAATGTTTCTGATGACCTTTTTGGTCCATTCTTTTGGGTTCTGAGGAAAAGAGGGGGGAATTTTACACACAATGAAGGACAGTCGAAATTTAAGCTTAAAAAAAGCTGCTATTGGAAAACAGCTGTGAAAGCAGTTTTACCAATATGTCCATTCATCAAGATCAGTTATATATTTTGAGTAGTGGTAGAATGATATATAGTCCAAGTATTGTAGATCAATCAGTCAGTGAGCACTGGTCATTTTGACATTTAGCGCCCCCTTGTGACAAATACAAACATTTCCAAACACTTTCTGTTCTCAAATATTTTAGAGTTTATAATATACAGTGGTGTGAAAAAGGGTTGGCCCCCTTCCTGTGTTTTTTAATTTTTTGCATATTTATCACACTTAAAAGATTCAGATCATCAAACAAATTTTAATATTACACAAAGATAATGCAAGTAAATACAAAATGCAGTTTTTAAAGGATTATTTATTTTATTAAGGGAAAAAAGCTGTCCAAACCTGCCTGGCCCTACGTGAAAAAGTAATTGCCCCCTAAATCTAATAACTGGTTGTGCCAAGCTTTGCAGCAACAACTGCAATCAAGTGTTTGCGATAACTGGCAATGAGTCCTTCACATCGCTGTGGAGGAATTTTGGCTCACTCTTCTTTGCATTTGCCCCTGAAAAAAAAAAAAAAAAAAAAGCAACTATAACTATTTTTTAAGGACACACATGATGAATTCCCATTGAGTTTACATCAGCCAGCTGCCATATATCCTCTAGTCTTATTATTTTATGAAAGATTTACAAAGGGATGTGTTCCCTTATTGTTGTTAATATTGCACAGTGTGCACACAAGGCACCCTTTAACCTGCGTTTGAAAGCTTGAATAAAAAGATCATTTGGACACCGAACAACCACATCACATGCATTCTGGAGTCATTATATCAATTCTGTTTGCATTTGTTATTTTTAAAGCGGTCATTTCTGACTGCTTATCACATATTTTAAGGCAAATATACTACTACTACTGAATTTAAATAGACTAAATGTGGTTGCAGGTCAAATATGTTGTCATATTTAAGAAATATTCTAGGACACGAATGTTACTCTAGTCTCCAATGGTTTCCAGTTGCTGATTTGGCTTCATAAAATACTCAAAGGCTCTTGTTCGGTCCCACCGTGTTCACGGTTATAATCAGTCACAACCGCCACTCTCAAATGTGAAACAAGGAATGCACAAAAATTTAGAATTTTCACCAGTTGATGGATAAATACCTTTGAAACTTGAGCTGGACTCAATTTTGACAAAACGAAGCTTCAATAAATCAGTCTCAGATGACCAACGAATTGAATTTGCATAATGGAAACCATGATGATTTATAATTAAGTATAGGCATGCGAAAGTAACAGTGATTTAAAACCTACTACAGAGTAAGTGCACATGGAAGAGTTAGTTTTTTTTGTGCGTGTATGTTGAGGGTACTCTACAGTAATGAAGTTCAAAGAGGCTCCACATGGTGTTATGCATAGTGAGAGAAACCTGAATCTGAATCAGGTGAAGCCAGTCAAGGCACACCGGCACACTGGGAAAGGTTGAGGAACAGGAGAGCAGACCCAGTGGACACCATCAGACCTGTTGCCCACTCCCTCACTCACGTGGTTCGTTAGGTGGCGGGATCTTGACGTCAGACGGCTCTACACCCCAGATCTCACGTGCATACTCTGCAATGGTGCGGTCGCTAGAGAACTTTCCAGAAGCAGCAATGTTTCTGATGACCTTTTTGGTCCATTCTTTTGGGTTCTGAGGAAAAGAGGGGGGAATTTTACACACAATGAAGGACAGTCGAAATTTAAGCTTAAAAAAAGCTGCTATTGGAAAACAGCTGTGAAAGCAGTTTTACCAATATGTCCATTCATCAAGATCAGTTATATATTTTGAGTAGTGGTAGAATGATATATAGTCCAAGTATTGTAGATCAATCAGTCAGTGAGCACTGGTCATTTTGACATTTAGCGCCCCCTTGTGACAAATACAAACATTTCCAAACACTTTCTGTTCTCAAATATTTTAGAGTTTATAATATACAGTGGTGTGAAAAAGGGTTGGCCCCCTTCCTGTGTTTTTTAATTTTTTGCATATTTATCACACTTAAAAGATTCAGATCATCAAACTAATTTTAATATTACACAAAGATAATGCAAGTAAATACAAAATGCAGTTTTTAAAGGATTATTTATTTTATTAAGGGAAAAAAGCTGTCCAAACCTGCCTGGCCCTACGTGAAAAAGTAATTGCCCCCTAAATCTAATAACTGGTTGTGCCAAGCTTTGCAGCAACAACTGCAATCAAGTGTTTGCGATAACTGGCAATGAGTCCTTCACATCGCTGTGGAGGAATTTTGGCTCACTCTTCTTTGCAGAATTGTTTTAATTCAGCCACACTGGAGGGTTTTCGAGCATGAATGGACTGTTTAAGCATCTCAATCGGATTTAAGTCCGGACTTTGATTTGGCCTCTCCAAAACCTTAATTTAGTTTTTCTTCACTTGCTGGTGTGTTTGGGATCATTGTCCTGCTACATAACTCAAGTGCGCTTGAGCTTGAGGTCACAAACTGATGGCCGGACATTCTCCTTCAGGATTTTCTGATAGAGTGCAGAATTCATGGTTTCATCAATTACGGCAAGTCGTCCAGGTCCTGAAGCTGCAAAGCAGCCTCAGATCATCACACTACCACCACGTTTGACTGTTGGTATGATGTTCTTTTTATGAAATGCTGTGTTGGTTTTACGCCAGATGTAACGGGACACACACCTTCCAAAAAGTTAAACTTTTGTCTCATCAGTCCACAGAATATTTGCCCAAAAGTCTTGGGGATAATCAAGATATTTTTTGGCAAATGAGAGACGAGCCTTTGTTTTCTTTTTGGTCAGCAGTGGCTTTTGCCTTGGAACACTCCCATGGATGCCGTTTTTGCCCAGTCTCTTTCTTATTGTTGAATCATGAACACTGACC